CTCGCTTGATGGTCTGCAACTATGCGCTCAGTCAGCCTGTCACTTTGTGGGTGATAGCGGGAGGTGCGCCGGTGTGTGATGCTGGACTCAAACAGCAACTTCTTAAACTCCCCTTGAAACTCAGTTCCCTGATCGGTAAGCACTTCTCCGCACGCTCCGAATCGGCACACCACCTGCGCCTTGAAAGCCGCTGCCACGTGTCTTGCTGGGGATTACTCTCACCTCTAGCCACTTACTCACATGCTTGACCATGAGCACTATGTACTGGTTTCCTCCTGCTCAGCGGTAGCTCTCCAGCCAGGTCCAGGGACCATCGGAATCCCAAGCCACAAATGGGCAGTGACTGCAGCTCTGCCTTTGCCTGAGTCAGATTGGCCTTGCTCCTCTGACATGCCTCACACCTCTCTACCCACTTCTTCACTTGCCTGCGCATCCCTTCCCACCACCAGCCCGTTTTCAGCAGCTGCACTGTCCTCTCTTGCCCATAATGCCCCAGCTTGGTATGCACTTCTTTGATTACCGCTTCCCGCTCATTTGGCGCCAGCACCAGTTTCCAGCCATCCTCGGTTTTTATCTGCAGCTGCTGTTGATACCACCTGTAATGGTGTCCTCGTGCCCTCACCCTCTCAGACACTGTCTTGTCCTCCTCGGTCTCTCCCTTTACCCATTCCATCGCCTTCTCATCCTGCCAGATGTCCGCTGGCCCCTTGCTCCCCTTGACGCCATTCTGTTCCACTTCTCTGGCACCGTGCGTTCCTGCCCGTCAGCCCTGGCGTGGTCATCAACCATGTTAGTGGCTGATGGTCATGGACCAAGGTGAACTCCCTGCGCTGAAACTATACCCTGAAGTGCCCCACCGCCCATACTGCTGCCAGCCCTTCGCCGATGTACGAGCTGTGGTGAGCTTCTACTGCATTGCAGCTCCGGCTAGCATAAGCCACTACCTTCTCGGTCCCCTCCACCTCCTGACAAAGGATTGCTCCCATCCCTTGACTGCTCCAGTCGGTGTAGAGGGTGAAGGGTTCGTCTGCCGTCCGCAGCTGCAGCACTGTTGCAGTTTTCACTGCAGACGTCAGGTCCTGCAATGATTCCCTCTGCACTTCTCCCCACTCCCATGCCTTGTCCTCCCGCAGCATTCTGTTCAACACGGATGCCCTCTTGCTGAAGTTCGGCACGAAACATCTGTAGTAACTCAGGAAGCCCAAGACTGCCAGCAGCCCTGACTTGTCACGCGGCTCTCTCAGCTTATCCAGCACCTGCACCTTTGCTCGCTGGATCCCTATCTGTCCTCCTTGCACCTCATACCCCAGGTATTGCACTGTCTGCTCCCCCCAGCGGCATTTCTTTGGGTGGCAGGTGAGCCCTACCCCTTCTATTGCACTCAGTGTCCGCTCCACGTCCTTAAGGTGTTGTTGTTTGGTCACACTGAAGATGACTACATCATCTATATAGCACTCCGTGCACTCCACTCCCCTTAACACTGCATCCATTACCCTCTGGAACACTGCTGAAGCATTCCTCAAGCCAAAAGGCATGTACAACCACTCGTACAGCCCATCCGGCCCGTGAAAGGCCGTTTTTCTCACGTCCTCCTCTCTGGTTTTGATTTGATTGAAGCCCTGGCGAAGATCTAGTGTCGTGAAGAACACCCCGTCGGCTAACTTATCGAAGATTTACTCTGCCATCGGCATCGGATACCTGTCCGGCACAGTAATTTTGTTTAGCGCCCTGTAATCCCCGCACATCCTCCTGCTCAGCACCTAACCTGTCAAGTCTTTCCTTGCTGCGACCATAGTTGGGGTGGCGTATTCTGACTCGGACCTTCTGATCAGGCCCGCCTCCGACAACTCCTTTATTTTCCCCTTGCATATCTCCTCGTCCGCAGGTGGCATCTTCCTCCTCTTGTGAAACACCGGCTCATCACTGCTCAGCTTCAGCACCATTTCCTTGACCGTACACTTCCCCAGTTCCTGCAGTGTAAAGGCAAAGCACTTCCTATGCTTAGCCAGCAATGCCCGCATTGCTTCTTTCCCTTCCTCACTCATAGTTTCCCCTATCTTCCACCCTGACTCCTCCTTCTCCTGCCAGACCCACACCCCTTGCTTGACTTCCGCTGCGTCTGTCTCTTCTTCCTTCAATCCCCAGTGGAGCACTATCTCCCTCCACATCTGCTACACTATCTACCGCATCATGTATCCGTCCATGGCGTTTCCCATTGCTCTTCTCCTCTCTTTCTCACTAACCCCAGGTGCTGCTGTGATGTTATCCCCGTACCCCATGGCAAATTCTCGCTCCAAGGCCGTGGGTTCCTCCCACCGTCCCTTCCTGTGGTCATACACTAGCCCTGGCCCTGGCTGCTCTCCCTCCATCCGATATCCTGCCGCTCCTTCATATGACACCAGTGTGGGCAGGGCCTGGCGCTCCTTGCTGTAACTTCTCTTACAGACAGGAGCCGGAGTCCTTCCCGGTTCCAGTATGTCGCTCACCTTTCGTCCTCCTGCCCTCTCCACTCCCTTCACTTCTCTCTACAGAACTTCCACTGGCACTACATTCTGCCAATACATCCTAAGTCGGTGCGCATATGCTCCCATCCGCACCGCGTCGCTGCTTACTCCCTTGCCTACTTGTCTCTTCACCCTCTCTCTCACCAGCCTCACTGGTTCCCGGACGTCTCCTTCCATGTCCAAGTGTCCTAGCAGGTACGCCAGCCGGCCCTGCCTATCCTGTAGCCATTCCATGATACTGAACAGATCTTCCATCAGCTTGGTCATGGGGTCTTGGTCACCCTTCCCCTTTCCAGCCCATGATACCCCCTGACATTCCCACCCTACCACCAACAGGTCCACGTGCCCCCAGCTTGCCACCTCGGCTTCCGTTATTGCCCTCACGTCATGCACCCCTCTGCTCATTGCCGCCCGGATCACTTCTCCTTTCAGCAGCTCTGGAAACTCCTCATGCAGCTTCCAGGCATGATGCTCCGCGATTCTCCTCACCTCTGGTGCCTTTTCTACATATATCCACTGCTTCACAGCTATCCCGTTCCTCACCACCGCTGCCAACCCCGCCCCTATTCCCCCAAAGAGCTACACTAGACGGATGGGTTGCTGCCAGTCTGTCTGTTGGCTCGGCTCGTTCATAAAGCTCATCCTTAGGTCCCCTTCCCCTCCCTTGCCATATGTGCTCTATTGTGCCCCCTGCTTCGCTGTCTTTTCCTTCTGATCTGCGCGGTAGGTCCTCTTTGGCTCCGTTTTCACGAATTGCACTGGCAGCTGACCTATCGGTTCTCCCTTTTTCCACCACCTGGTTCAAAAATCCACACTCTCCTTCCAAAATCATATGGTCATGTTTAATGCGAATATCAACTCCGTGCCCACCAACACATCGAAATCTTCAGATTCTGAAATCTGGCACCTGATTCTGACTTGCGTCTCGTGTTTTTCCCCTTGCAGTACTGTCAGTTCTATCGGAGTCTTCGTGCACAGCATCCAATTTGATTCCCCTCCCTCTGCCATCATCACCAGCATCCCCTTCACCACATGTCTGTCTAGCACCCACAATCCCAGCCTCTCAACCATCCCTCTCCCCTGTATCACGCTCTGCGCTTCGGTGTCTATAATGGCTGTCTTCGCCTTCTCCCCTTCCACTGTCAATGCTCCACTCTGTATTAGCAGCACCGAGGTCTCACATGCCAATCTCTCCTGCAGGTGACGTGAGGCTGTGCATCTCTCTTCCTTCTCCTTTGGCGTCTGCCCCCTTTCCCGTTCTTTCCTCACTTGTTCCCTTCTAGCATCCTTCCCTCCGTTGCACAGACCCATCTCTTCTCTTCCCCTCCATGCCATGAATGCAGGTTGCCCCTCCCGTTCTATATCCTCTTCTTTTCTTCCCTGTGATCCTCCCTTCATCCCCAAGCCATGAGTGTGGCTTGCTCCTCCTGCTCTACATCTTCTTCCTCCTCATCCCTGGCATACATTCCCGCTTCAGCTTCTCGTCGTGGTCCCAGTGCCTGTAACTGTGCTTGTAGCTGGCTGATCTGCTTCTCCTGTTCCTCCAGCTTCCTCTTCGCCACTCGCAGTCTTCTGCCGCATGTCCTCCCTTCCCACAGATCTCACACTTTGGCGCTTCAGGGCATTCCTGCCGCCGGTGCCCTGGCTTCCCCCAACCGTCACAGTTCTTGCAGTCCCTGCGAAGGTGTCCCAGTTGTCCGCATCTGTGGCATGTCCGTGTTTCCGGCCTGCTCTCTCCTCGACCCACTGCCTTGTCCCTCTCTACAGGTATGATCGCTGCTGCCCATGTTGGCCCACGGCTTCTCTCTGTAGTCCTGGGCCGGTATGCTTCATAGTTTCTTTGTTCGAGCTCCATCTTCTATGCCAACTCGAAGACCTCATCCAGCGTCATGTCTGTCCCCATTTTATACACCTTCATGCGCAGTCCGTTCCCCATAGTGCTGTCCAATCCATCCAAGAACTTACTGACTAAGAGGCCCATGTCCGCACATGTCACGTCCTCCGCCAAGTTAATCAGCCGATTGTAATAGGTGAGCAACGACTCACTCCTCCCCTTCCTGAAGCCCTGAAATTCCCTTATTTTCTCTGCGGTATGCCCTGGAAACTGCCGCTGCAGCCGCTTCAGGAATGCTTCCGTGGGGTCCTCCCAGTGCCTTCCCGCCTTCTCTAGCAACTCGTCCATCTTCATTCTATACAGCGTCTCCGCCTCCCCCTCCACTGTGTTCGGCAGACTCAGGAAGAAATCTGCTGCATCTATGCCACTCCTCTTGCACCTGTATCTCACATTCCCAACTTGCATCAGGTAATTCTTCAGTGTAGGCCCCGCGCGCTGATCCCCTAAGAACCGCGCCGGCACTTCCACTCGCGAGACCATCGTTGCACTCCCACGCCCCTCACCCCAAGACTCGTTGCCCCCCCTTTCTTCCCTTCCTGACGTTCCTACTCCCCTCGCCCTCTCGATACCTCTCCTTGCTTCTCTCGCGCGCTCCATACTGTATGCCAGACCGCTGCCTACACCTTTGCTTCCGAACTGTTCCTGTCTTGTTTCCCATCGCATTTCCTCCCCACCCATCCTTCCTCGCCGTTCTGGTGAGTAAGGTGCCCACGTCTATTTTTCCCCTTGCCCTTTGTGTTGCCAGAGCTTCTCAGGCGTCGGGGATCGATGATCTCTCCTTCTTTCCTGCCCGTGACAGTTGTCCCGCTGGTGCCACTCCTCCTCCCATCTCCCTCCCTGCCTTCGCTGCAGATCCTGATCTGGCGAGCGCGACCCTCCTCTACGCCTCTCATCACGCTGCGGACGCTGATCCAACAAGCGATACTCGCTTCCCCTGCTTCCACCATGTTCTTGGTGCAGATCTGGCGAACGCGATTCGCCTCCCCACCTCCCCTCATGGTGTTGGTGCAGATCCGGCGAGCGTGGCCTGCTTCCCCGCCTTCTGTCATGCTGCTGATACGGATCTGGCGAGCGCGGCCCGCCTCCTTGCCTCCCGTCATGGTGCCGATGTGAATATGGTGAACGCGACTCGCCTCTCTACCTTTCCTCATGGTGCTGGTGCTGATCCGGCGAGCGTGGCCCGCTCCCCCGCCTTTTGTCATGCCGCGGATACGGATCCGGCGAGCGCGATCCATCTCCCCGCCTCCCACCATGATGCTGGCGCAGATCCGGCGAGCGTGACCCGCTTCCCCGCCTCCTGCCCCAATACTAACGCAAATCCGGCACGCGCTACCCGCTTCCCCGCCTCCCACCATGATACTAACGCGGATCCGGCGAACGCGACCCGCCTCCCCGCCTCTCGTCACGATGCGGATGCAGATCTGGTGAACGCGACCCGCCTCCACGCCTCCCGCCACGATGCTGACGCGGATCTGGCGAACGCTACCCGCCTCCACGCCTCCCGCCATGATTCTGACGCGGATCCGGCGAAAGCGACCCGCCTCCTCGCCTCTCGTCACGATGTGGATGCAGATCTGGCACGCGCGGATCGCTTCCCCGCCTTCCGTCATGCTGCTAACGCGGATCTGGCGAGCACGGCCCATCGCTGCTCCGCTCCCCGCCACGCGCCTGCTGTCCGGAGCGGTGCAATTCCCCGCGCGCGCTTCGTACGCCGCCAGTTCCGCCTGTCTCTCCTTTTCCTGACTCTGCCGCCCCGCTTGCCTTAGCAGGGTCCGACTCAGAGGCCTCCGCGGGCATGACGCGCTGCTCACCTGTGCCCTCCTCCCGTACTTCACCGCCGTCCTCCGCCTCGTCATCACGCTCCGACTCCAGCGAGGTATCCGCCGCGGCGTCCTCTCTTTCTCCGTCAGTTTTGAGGTCTCACTCTCAGCCCGAAAACATTCCCTCCAAGCCTCGCCCGCGACTTTGTTCTTCGCGACGGCGATAGCGTGCTTCCAGCGAGCGATACGCTCCCGTCTCCTGGCGATACCCGTGATCACCACCAGCGCCTCAGCACGCTTCCGTCCGCCACGGGTCACTTCCCACCGTGGCCGATCCCGATCCGCCTGCTCCTTCTTGTGCGAATCCTCCCTCTCGGCGCTCGGGTGCGAGCGGCACCTCATCCGCACGAAAGGCCGGCCTTCGCGGCGATCGCTCCGGCCTCCATGGCAACCTCTCCAGCGATCGCCCCCGCTCACGCGAGCGTCTACGCCGCGAGCGATCCTCCTCGCGACGACCGCAGGTCCTTCCGTAACGCAGCTCATACACATCCATCCTTGCACGAGCACACCCCCTTTTCTCTTGTTATGAAAGTAACCAAACTCTCACCTCGGGGGTCCTCCCTGAGTGGTATGTCACCTGGCTGCTAGAACTGAGGTAACAATTATCCACCATACGAAAGGATAACAAGAGAAAAACATCGGGTGTGTGTGTGAGGGAATTTATCTGGCCCAGGCTCGAGCCGTGCATTTCTCAATGTGCGCCTCGAACTTGGGTTGGTTTTTTCACATTGGCTCCTTGAATTCCACCCCTCTGTGCTCTCCTACCAATCTCGCGTCATTTTCCTTGGTCCCCCAACTACCTACACCTCGAATGTGCATACTCTCCATTGTGACACCCATAGCTACATCGCACACTCTGGCACCTAATATGCATAATCATACATATTCGGTGACACTGGCCAGCTGTCGTTTCCCAAGTGAAGAAACCCGAAATTGTCACGCACAGTGACGAATCGTCACTTGCCGAAGGTCTCCAAAATTATCGTGCGCAACGTGATGAATAACCTGACGCTACTTGCCACACGCATAAACTCCTCTGTTGTCACGCGCATTTGAGGACCACGTGGCGACGCCAACTCGCCAGTTGCTCCGAAAATCTCGCGCATGCAGTGACGACAACTTGCATGAAGCCAACGGCCGCATCAAAGCAGTGCCGAGATTAATGGAACCGACGAAAATAACTCATGCTATTAATGTGCGACAACCACAGCTACCCACCACCTGGGGGGAGGGAGGTCAAGGTCAATCTCGACCATCGAGGGTAAGGATCTGGCGATGCCTAGGAGCGCCCGTTAATTCCATGGCCGTGAGGAGCAACTACCCATTCTCCTGCCCAGCTAGTGCGCAGCTCCTGGTCCCCACGGCATCCTTCACTGTCTTCCCCCCCCCCCCCCCCCCCCCCCCGCCCCCGTGAGAATAGTGAACGGGGATGAATGCATTGAGGTCAAACTGAGTACATGTACTAACCCTAATTGGGTTGTACCCCTTATGGGCTACCCCACTACAGCCTACAAAACATAAACATTATATTGTTTTGACACACCCCCATAGGCAAAGTGGGGGAGAACAAGTGGTCACAAGACCAGTCAAGAAAAACAAAGCAAGCTCAGGGTGGATCACGAAGTCACCACACAGTCCGAGCACAAGCAAATGGCCACAAGACAAATTCACAAGCATAATATAAAAGAGAACAAACAGTACGGTGATCATAACCTAGCAAGTGTAAGCATGCAGGAATATATATAGATCACAGTACAAGCAAAGTCATGTAGTGAACAAGTAAGACAAAACAGGCACAAGACCTAAAGCACTACAGAAACGCTGATGATCACCAAACTGAAGTGCCTTGGTGAATATATCAGTTGTGTTGTGTTGCTGAAGCTGCAACTCTCGAGCAAGGAAGTAACGCAGAGCAATGTGCTTCGTTCTGTGCTCCAGTCTATGCTCCTGACACAAGGCAATCATGGCCTTGTTGTCTACGTACAGGACTGGAGGAGAACTAGGCCGCTCTCCCAAGTCAGTCAGCAGGTAGGTGAGCCAGCGTTAATCCAGTGCAGCCATGGCTCCTGCGTAGATCTCAGCCTCACAACTGGAGCTGAGAACAGAAGACGAGTGGGTAGACCGCCAAGAAACAGAGCCGGAGCCAAGGCTGAAAGTGTAACCCTGTGACGATTGCTGCGTAGCCAGGTCGTCAACCCAAGACGCGTCTGAGTGTCCAGTAAGGACAACTGGACCCTGTCCTCCAAGCACGAGCCCCATGCACGATGTACTGCACAAGTAGTGCAACACCCTCTTAGCGGCCTCCCAGTGCTCTGGTCGGTGTCTCCCGGGTGCAAGGTAGCGTGCCAAGATGCTAAGAGGGTACGCAAGGTCAGGTCAAGTGCAGGTCATCAGGTACATGAGGCAGCCCACAAGCTCTGGATACGGGCCATTCGGCTCTACGGACTCGTCCGAAGGTGGAGCTGAGAGCGAGTGACCGGTAGGCAGAGGAGTGGACTGTGGCGAGGAGAACCGGAAGCCAAAGCACTGAAGGACCTGGTGCACCATGTGTGACTGAGTCAGGGTGATGGTGCGCCGTGCTCTGTCCCGGGTGATCAGCAAGCCAAGGAAACTGGGCAGCTCACCCAGGTCAATGCAGGTGTGACTCTTCTGCAGCTCCGACTTCACAAGGGCGAGTCCCTCAGTGTCAGCAGTGGCAAAAACCAAGTCGTCGACATACACGAGGATATAGAACAGTGGCAGCGAAGTGTCGGTGCGCAGAAACAGCGACGGGTCAGCAGTCGAAGGAGCAAACCCAAGAGCCGCAAGTGCCATCCTCAGTGTGTCGTGCCACTCACGAGGCGCCTGACAGAGACCGTAGACTGGCTGCCGGAGGCTCCACTGGGTACCAAGAGGAAACGACCCAGTGAAGCCAGGTGGGCGGCGCAGCCAGATCTCCTCGTGCAGACTGCCCTGTAAGAACGCTGTGCTGAAGTCAAGAGAGTGAAGCTCGTAGTCACGCTAAGCGGCAACGTGCAGCAGCACCCGAAGAGTGGTCATCTTTGGGGTAGGGGAGAAGGTCTGGAAGAAGTCAACTCCCTGTCGCTGACTGAAGCCTCGTGCAACGTAACGAGCCTTGAAGATAGGCGGAGAACCCGGCGGCCGCTTCACCCTGAAAATCCGCATGCCATCGACGATGTTCGCCCCAGAAGGGGGAACCTCGTCGACGTAAGTGCCTGTGGACTTCCAGAATGCCATCTTTGCATCCATGGCTGTTCGCCACTGAGAGGAGTACTGACCCGAAATCGCCTCTGCGTAAGAGCGCGGGGTCGGGATGTCCAGTGCATCCGGGTCTCCCTTAGGAACAAGCAGCATGGCCACGAGATGAGGTGCAGCGGCTGCAAGACACTCAAAGTCCTCCTGTCTGTCCTCAAGGACGTCCGTGCGAAGAGCACACTCACCCCCGATGGACGGAGGACAGACAGACTCAGACTCAACAACAAGACTAGCGGCGTAGTCGAGACGACAAGCAACAGCAAAGTCAACAAGCTCAGCGACCAAAGCAGACGCAGCAGCGGACTCAAACGAAGGGTCAGTGACAACAGTGGCTAACAGACGCGTGACAGTAGGGTGAGCAGCACGAACTAGGTCAGACTCAGGGTCCGGCACAGTAGGAAGAGAGGATGCAGGAGGAGACGGCAGAGGGACGCGCTGTGGAGCAGAGGAAGGACGAAGTGCCATAGTGTGAGTACCTGGCACAGGAGGAGGACGCGGACGCGGGACTCGACGAGCACGGCGAACAATGTGAACAGGGGAGGCAGGACGAGACGCAGGCTCACGACGCTCTGTAAGCGAGTCAGTGTGCTCAGTGTAAGGAGAAGGAGCAGGTAGTGGGGAGCCTGGCTGTAACGGGAGGCCAGTAGAAGATGGGAGGCTAAGAACCTGGCGAAGTACGGAGGCAGGTGGTGGCAGAGTCGACGGCGACGGTGGAGCGAAGAACAGTCGCGGCGGTGCAGTACAACAAGCACCAGTACCAGCAGCACCTCCAACGTCTCCTGCAGCTCCAGAATCTCCAGCCCCAGCGCCTCCAACGACAGCACCTCCAGCTCCAGCGTCACCAGCAGCAGCAACCCCAGAACCGGCACCTCCAGCCCCAGGGTCCACAGCACCAGCGCCAGGGCCTCCAGCTCCACTGCCTCCAGTAGCAGCATCCCCCGAACCGGCACCTCCAGCTCCGGGGTCTCCAACTCTAGAGCCGACATCACCAGCTCCAGAGTCTCCAGCTCCAGTGCCTCTAGCAGTTGCACCCCCGGAAGCGGCACCTCCAGCCCCAGGGTCTCCAACTCCAGGGTCGACAGCACCAGCTCCAGGGCCTCCAGCTCCAGTACCTCCAGCAGCAGCACCACCACCACCAGCTCCGGCAGCTCCAGTACCTCCAGGACGAGCACCTCCGGGACTAGCAGTGCCAGCACCACCAGCACCTCCAGCACCAGCAGCACCACCAGCTCCGGCAGCTCCAGTACCTCCAGGACGAGCACCTCCGGGACGAGCAGCGCCAGCACCACCAGCACCTCCAGCACCAGCAGCACCACCAGCTCCGGTAGCTCCTGTACCTCCAGGACGAGCACCTCCGGGACCAGCAGTGCCAGCACCACCAGCACCTCCAGCACCAGCAGCACCACCAGCTCCGGCAGCTCCAGTACCTCCAGGCTGAGCACCTTTGGGACGAGCAGTGCCAGCACCACCAGCACCAGCAGCTCCACGTCCTCCAGCTCCAGCAGCTCCACGTGGAAGGCAGTAGCGCTGAGTGTACCACTCGCGCAGCTGCTGTGGTGAGAGAGGCTCCCGCTGGCTAGACTGCTGGGGCGAGGCCCCCAGAGAACCGCCAGGACCAGTAGACGTAGCACCACCAGGCTTAGCATCCCCAGAAGCAGCACCCGTAGGCTCAGAACCCCTAGGCTCAGCACCCCTAGGCTCCTCCCGCTCTAACGTAGCACCCCCAGGCTCAGCTACCCCAGGCACAACACCCCCAGGCCTCACACGCTCAGGCTCCTCACTCGCAGGCTCAACACCCCCAGGCACAACACCCCCAGACGCAGCACCCCGAGCAGCACCACCCTCAGCGGCACCTGAGTCACCAGTGACCTCGACAGGCTCAGGCAAGGGAGGCGGGTCTACCTGAGACACACCTGAAGGAGCAAGACCCTGAGGGGGGGGGGGGGAGTCAACCGGAGGGGAACCTGGAGCGAGGAAGAGGGGTGGCGGGGGGAGAGGGGCAGTGCGGTAGGGAAAGAGGCGATAGAAAGGAACCGACTCGTCAAACGTGACGTCCTGAGAGGCAAACACCCGACGTGACGTGGGGTGGTAAAACTGCCAGCCAGGCGCGTCACGAGGGAAACCAAGGAAGACGTAGGGAATGGCGCGAGCGGAGAGCTTGTCTGCGGTGGTATCGCGGACAAAGGCACGAGAACCCCAGACCCGGAAGCGCGACGCATCGCCAACCTCCCCCGTCCAACGCAGTGTGGGCGAGGTCTCCGGCAAGGAGACACGGGGCCAGAGGTTGAGCTAATGCGCAGCGCACCGGACCGCAAACGGACACAGAAAATGGGGAACTGCCGCATGGATCATGGAGGTACGAGTGACCTCCATGACTAAGCCAATGCGGTGCTCAGCAACCCCATTCTGCTGCGGAGAGGCCGTTAGCGTGAATGACTGGAGGATGCCCTCCCCCTGACAAAAGTCCCGCAAGAGGTCAGAGGAGAACTCACCACCTCTGTCAGAGTGCAGATGCAGGACGGGAAGGTCCGTGTCGAACCGCTCGCGGAGCTGGAGACACACAGCACGGATCCAAAGGATCAAACCAGCTATGGTCGTCGACAACAAGCAGAAAGTACCGCTCGCGGCCTGGTCCCTGGACGCGTGCATGGACGGGCCGGCACCTGGCCACGTTTACATGTCGGCCTGGGTCGAGTCTGTACACACTGACTACTGAGCCTCCTAGAACCTGGGGAGGCTCAGCAGTCAGTGTGTACAGACTCGACCCAGGCCGACGGGTAAACGTGGCCAGGTGGCGGCCCGTCCGTGCACACGTGCAGATCGCCACACGCTGGCCTCCAGGGATAAAGGTATTAACCCACTCATCCTGAAGAGCTGCGTTACTCACCAAGTTCGTCAAGAACGAGGGGAGGTGGAGACCTGACAGCGAGCCGGACGGAACCGCCGGACACGGGAGCACGGTGGAGGAACGTGCAAGAACCAGAACCCCAGAGTGGTCAGCCAGGGAGACCGCAACCGGTCTAGGGAGCGGTGTGAGTGCGGTACTGTCGCGAAAGAAACCACGTGAAGCACATGAGTCAAGCGTGAAGGTGTGCAAGGGCTCAGCAGACGCAGTACCAGAGAGAGCAGACTCACTAGCACCGAGAGCAGACGCACTAGTACCTAGAGTAGCAGCCTCTATGCCAGGGTCGGGCGGCACACAGAGGTAACAGTCACCCTCAGTACCCACAGTCAGAGTATACATGGCAGTAACTATAGCATCCAAGTCGAGAGCAAAGACGTCCACCTTGTGACGAAGCAGCTCCAGCCAGCTGGGGGGCTCAGCCTCGTCGCCAAACACCTCTCTCCAGGCGTCACTCAAATAGGCGAAGCAGCGGGGCTGTGAATGGCCAGGTGTCCCGCAGGTCTGCCCGGCCCGAGCACCTGTGCGAATGACATACGGGCAGCGACCAGTACTCGGAGACTTCCCACGCTGGAAATACCACTCACGAAGCTGCTGGGGCGGAAGGGTGACGCGCGGACCTTGCTGAAACTGCAGCTGGCCACCACTAGAACCTCCCCACCGAACAGCTCCACCTCGACTGCCGCTGCGGCCGCCTCCACCACTCCCACCGCTGCCCCCACCGCCGACACGACTTCCACCACTACCACTAAGAGAAGCCATAGTGGGCAGAGGAAGGAGGTAGGGCAGGGCAAGGCAGGAACGGAGACGCACGGGCTGCAGTGGGCGTCGTATATGTGGGCAGGAGGCGAGCGCGCGGGCTAGGAGAGCGGTGCGCAGGATCCGGGACGGCGCTCGGCAGGGCAGGGCGGGCGTAGGGCAAGGCAGGGCCGGACGCGCGGGCTAGCAGAGCGCTGCGCGGGCGGACAGGGCTGCGTGCAGGCCGGCAGGGGTGGCGCGCGGGCTCTGGGGCGGCGCACGGCAAGGGCAGGGGCCGCGTGCAGGCTCTGGGGCGGCACGACGGGCAGGCAGGGGCGGCGCGCGGGCTCTAGGGCGGCGTGACGGGCAGGCAGGGGCGGCGCGCGGGCTCTGGGGTGGCGCGACGGGCAGGCAGGGGCAGCGTGCGGGCTCTAGGGCGGTGCGACGGGCAGGGCAGGGCATCGCGCGGGTCCTAGGGCGACGCGACGGGCAGGGCAGGGCGTCGCGCGGGTCCTAGGGCGACGCGACGGGCAGGGCAGAGCGTCGCGCGGATCCTAGGGCGACGCGACGAGCAGGGCAGGGCGTCGCGCGGGTCCTAGGGCGACGCGACGGGCAGGGCAGGGCATCACGCGGGTCCTAGGGTGATGCAACGTGCAGGGCAGGGCGTCGCGCGGGTCCTAGGGCGACGCGACGGGCAGGGCAGGGCGTCGCTCTGGTCCTAGGGCGACGCGACGAGCAGGGAGGGCGCCGCGCAGGTCCTAGGGCGACGCGACGGACAGGGCAGGGCGTCACGCGGGTCCTAGGGCGACGCGACGGTCAGGGCAGGGCGTGCGCGGTCAGGGCAAGGCGTGCGCGGGGTAGCGCGACGCGGGCAGGGCAGCGCGTGCGCGGGGCGGCGTGACGCAGCTAGTGCGCAGCTCTTGGTCCCCACGGCATCCTTCCCTGTCTTCCCCCCCTCCCCCCCCTTTGAGAATACTGAACGGGGATGAATGCATTGACGTCAAACTGAGTACATGTACTAACCCTAATTGGGTTGTACCCCTTATGGGCTACCCCACTACAGCCTACACAACATAAACATTATATTGTTTTTACACACCCCCATAGGCAAAGTGGGGGAGTACAAGCAGTCACAGAAAAGACCAGTCAAGAAAAGCAAAGAAAGCTCAGGGTGGATCACTAAGTCATTACACAGTCCGAACACAAGCAAATGGCCACAGACAAATTCACAAGCATTATATAAAAGAGAACAAACAGTACAGTGATCATAACCTAGCAAGTGTAAGCATGCAGGTATATATATAGATCACAGTACAAGCAAAGTCACGCAGTGAGCAAGTGAGACAAAGCAGGCACAAGGCCTAAAGCAGTACAGAAACGCTGATGATCACCAAACTGAAGTGCCTTGGTGAATATATCAGCAGTGTTGGCCCGAGTGGCCACGTAAGCAAGACGAAGCTGCAACTCTTGAGCAAGGAAGTAACGCAGAGCAATGTGCTTTGTTCTGTGCTCCAGTCTATGCTCCTGACACAAGGCAATCATGGCCTTGTTGTCTACGATGAGGTACAGCAGCTGCAAGACACTCAAAGTCCTCCTACCTGTCCTCAAGAACGTCCGTGCCAAGAGCACACTCACCCCTGACGGACGGAGGACAGACAGACTCAGACTCAGCAACAAGACTAGCGGCGTAGTCTAGATGACACGCAGCAGCAAAGTCAACAAGCTCAGCAACTAAGGCAGACGCAGTAGTTGACTTAAAAGAAGGATTAGTGACAACAGTGGCTAGGAGATGTCTGACAATAGGGCTGGCAGCACGAACCAAGTCAGACTCAGGGTCCGGAACGTCAGGAAGAGAGGACGCCGGAGGAGACGGCAAGGGAACGCGCAGTGGAGCAAAGGAAGGACGAAGCGCCATAGTGTGAGTACCTGGCACAGGAGGAGGACGCGGACGAGGGACACGACGACCAGTGCGAGCAGGCGTGACAGGACGAGACACAGGCTCACGACGCTCTGTAAGGGAGGCTGGCTGCTCAGTGTAACGAGGGGGGGCAGGCAGCACTAAGTCTGGAGGAAGGGCAGTGGTCGAAGGAAGACTAAGAACCTCCCGGAGCGCCGAGGCAGGCGGCAGCAGTAACGGCTGTGGCGGCGGCAAGAAAAGCGGTCGCTGCCGCACAGTGCCTCCAGCACCAGTACCGCCAGCTCCAGTGCCTCCAGCGCCAGCACCTCCAGCTCCATGGCCTCTAGCACCAACGCCCCCAGCTCCAGCGCCTCCAGCGTCCGCGCCTCCAGCTCCAACGCCTCCAGCTCCAGTGCCTCCAGCGTCCGCGCCTCCAGCTCCAGGGCCTCTAGCTCCAGTGCCTCCAGCTACAGGCCTCCAGCGGCAGTGCCTCCAGCGCCAGCGCCGCCAGCGCTAGCGCATCCAGAGGCAGTGCCTCCAGCTCCACCAGCGCCACTCCGAAGGCGGGTGCGCCGAGCAAACCACTCGCGCAGCTGCTGTGGTGAGAGAGGCTTTCGCCGGCCAGACCGCTGCGGCGAGGCACCCGTAGGACCTCCAGCAGACGCAGTACCCCTAGGCTCCACACCCTGAGACTCAGCACCCCTAGGCTCCGCACCCTCAGACTCAACACCCCCAGGCTCTGCACCCTCAGACTCAGCAACCCCCAGACTCAGCATCCCCAGGCTCAGCACCCCCAGGCTTAGCACCCCCAGACTCAGCACCCCCAGGCTCCTCACCCCCAGGCTCGTCACCCTCAGGCTCAACACCCCCAGACTCAGCACCCCTAGGCTCCAAGAGAACCGCCAGCAGCACCAGAGCCGACAGCAACCGGCTGCAGAGGGGGCGAAGACGGTCGAGGTGGAAAACCCGGAGGGGTCTCCAAGCGTGGTGAGCGGCGGGGGGCCGCCGCGTCGTCAGCAGCAACGTCACCCCCCTCAGGTGGGCCAGAGGTGTCGGAAGTGACCTTTAACGGCTCAGCTAAGGGGAGCGGGTCTACCTGAGACACACCTGAAGGAGCAGGACCCTAAGGGGGGAGGGGGTCTACCGGAGGGGGACCTGGAGCAAGGAAGAGCGGCGGGGGGGGGAGAGGGGCAGTGCGGTAGGGGAAGAGACGGTAAAAGGGTACCGACTCGTCAAAGGTGACGTCCTGAGAGGACAGAACACGGCGCGAGGTGGGGTGGTAAAACTGCCAGCCAGGCGCGTCAGTGGGAAAGCCAAGGAAGACGCAGGGAATGGCGCGAGCGGAGAGCTTGTCCGCGGTGGTATCGCGGACAAAGGCACGAGAGCCCCAGACCCGGAACACCGACGCATCGCCAACCTCCCCCGTCCAACGCAGTGTAGGCGAGGTCTCCGGCAAGGAGACATGGGGCCAGAGGTTGAGCTGATGCGCAGCGTACCTGACCACAACGGCCACAGAAAATGGGGAGCAGCCGCATGGATCATGGAGGTACGAGCCACCTCCATGACTAAGCCAATGCGGCGCTCTGCAATCCCATTCTGCTGCGGGGAGGCCAGAAGCGTGAACGACTGGAGGATGCCCTCCCCACGACAAAAGTCCCGTAGGAGATGGGAGGAGAACTCACCGCCTCTGTCAGAGTGCAGACGCAGGACAAGAAGGTCCTAGAAGAACCACTCACGGAGCTGGAGATGGACAGCGCGGATCCAAGGGATCAAGACATCAGGGACCTCCCCCTTGCAGTAGTCGTCAACAACCAGCAGAAAGTATCGCTCGCGGCCCTGTCCACTGACGCGGGCTGGGCTCTACACGTCCATGTGGAGAGTCTCCAGGGGAGCATTCATCGGGGGAAACGAGGAGGAGTGAGGAGCGGCGCGCTGCCGCCCCTCGACGCAAGGAAGGCAGGGTGGCGCAGGCGAGGGCGGGAGGGGAGGCAAAAACCTGGGAAGACCAGAGACAAGGAGGCGGGAGTGCATGCCATGGAGGCGTGGCAGGGAGGGGTGACCAAGGCGGTGGTGCCAAAGGAGAGTCTGGTGCGTGAGGAGGCGACACGAACAGGAGGCGACACGAACAGGGGGCTGCTACCTGACCTGACGCGGACACTTGACTAGACGCAGCAACCTGAGTAGGCTCAGTAATCAGCGTGTACAGGCTCGACCCAGGCCGACGGGTGAACGTGGCCAGGTGACGGCCCGTCTGTGCACATGTGCAGATCGACACACGCTGACCCCCAGGAGTGGTGGTAGTGACCATCGCATCCTGGAGGGCAGCGGTACTCACCAAGTTCGTAGAGAACGAGGGGAGGTGAAGACCTGAGAGTGAGCCAGACGGAACCGCCGGACACGGGAGAACAGTGGAGGAACGTGCAAGAACCGGGCCCCCTGAGGGGTCAGCCAGAGAGACTGCAACAGGTGCAGGGAGTGGTGTGACTGTGGTACTGTCGCGAAAGAAGCAGCGGGAAGCACCTGAGTCAAGTGTGAAGGTGTGCAAGGCCTCAGCAGACGCAGTACCAGAGAGAGCAGAGCAGCAGCCTCTATGCCTGGGTCGGGTGGCACATACAGGTAACAGTCACCCTCAGCACTAACAGTCAAAGCATACATGCCAGCAAGGATAGCGTCATAGTCAAGAGCAAATATATCCACATTGTTCCGGGGGAGCTCAGCCTCGTCGCCAAACTCTGCGCGCCAGGCGTCGTCAAGACGGGAGAAGCAGCGGTACTGTGTGTGACCAACCTTCTCGCATGTCTGACCAGCCCGATCACCTGTGCGAATGACGTACGGGCAGCGAACACTACCCCCAGACGCCCCACGCTGAGCAAACCACTCACGAAGCTGCTGGGGCGTAAGGGTCTCGCGCGGACGCTGCTGCTGCTGCCTCTGGCCACCGCCAGAACCTCCCCTCTGGACCGCTCCACCCCGACCGCCACCACTGCCGCCGCCACCACTCCCACTGCTGCCACCACCGCCGCCACCACTCCCACCGCTACCACCACCGCCGCCACCGACGCCTCCACCCCCACCACCACTCCCACCGCCACCAACGCCACCTCCACTGCCTCCACCGCCTCCACCACCGCCTCCTCCCCCGCCACGCCCACCACTCTTGCCTCCCTTGCCCTTGCCGCTGTGGCGCCTCCCACTAGGAGCAGACGCAGCCCCGACCTCCTCAGCACGAAGGAAGTCAACAGCAGCAGCAGAAGCGACAGAGGGGGCAAGGGGGGAGGGGGAACACCCCTCAAAGAAGGGAGTGCGAGGAGTGCCACGAGAAGCAGCTACAGTGTTTATGCTAGTCTCAGCTGCAAGGAGATGCTTCTCGAGCAGGTCGACAGTGAGGTCTGTGGGGTCAAGGGCGAGAAAGTGGTCCCTGACTGCGCGAAGAGAGTCAGGGAGGCGGGTGACGATGAAGTAGAGAGTGATGTACATGGGGGGTGGGGGTCTTGTCGAGAAACTCGACTTTAAGCGCAGCGCGAAAGCGAGTGTTGCTACTGCGAAGGTGGGTGATGAGGTCGGCGATTGTGGGAAAGTCGGACAGCTCGGGAAAGAGGTAGGGCAGTATGAGTCGGCCTAGAGCAGCAGTGGCAGGGGAGGAGTAACGAGCGACTACAGCGTCAATCAATGCTTTAGCAGTCTTGTGCTGGCCAAAGTGCTCGCGTGTTCGGCTAATGGCAGGTGGTTGCGAATGGCGAGGCGAGCAGTATCGTCACGGGTAAGCCACTGTGAGCGAGTCGCACTGTCAGCTGTCTCGGGAGGAGCAAGAGAGGTCCCAAACGAGAGGTCAAATAAGGTGACGCCGTCCCTAGACTCGCTCAGTAGGTACAACTGTAAGTCGTCAAGCCAGGTCTCAAACTAGATAGGACAGCCCTCACGATCGAAGGTGAGAACACTAAGAGAAGTCGTAGCGGGCAGAACAGGGTGGTCTGAAGGACGGCGTTACTCACCAAGTTCGTAGAGAACGAGGGGAGGTGAAGACCTGTCAGTGAGCCAGACGGAACCGCCGGACACGGGAGAACAGTGGAGGAACGTGCAAGAACTGGGCCCCCGGAGCGTACATGGCTGTAAGGATAGTATCATAGTCTAGAGCAAACATATCCACACCGCGCCGACACAGCTCTAACCAGTGAGGGAGCTCAGACGAGACGCCAAACTCTGCGCGCCAGGCGTCGCTCAGATAGGCAAAACAGCGGGACTGTGTGTGGCCAAATGTCCCGCAGGTCTGACCAGCCCGATCACCTGTGCGAATGACGTACGGGCAGCGAGTAGTACACCCAGAGTCTCGCTGAGCTAACCACTCACGAAGCTGCTGAGACGTAAGGGTCTCGCGCGGACGCCGCTGCGGCTGCATCTGGCCACCGCCACAAACTCCCCACTAAACAGCTCCACTGCGACTACCACGACGGCCGCCGCCACCACTCGAACAGATGTCACCACCGCCGCCACGGCTCCTACCGCTACCACGAAGAGAAGTCATAGCGGGCAAAGCAAGTAAGGAGGTTTGCGACCATAGCGGGCAGCACTCAGTGATGGCAGGACGGCGAGCAGGCCCTAGGGTAGAGCGTGCGGTGCACGGTCACGGAAGGGCGGCACGCAGCCAGGGTAGGGTAGTGCGTTGACATGGAAGCGTAGCACGCGGGCAGGAAGTGATGGCGCGCGGCCAGCAGGGCGGTGCGAGGGCTGCAGAGGGCGGCGCGCTGGCCCTAGGGCGACGCGACGGGCAGGGCAGGGCGTCACGCGAGTCCTAGGGCGGCGCGACGGGAAGGGCAGGGCGTCGCGCGGGTCCTAGGGCAACGTGACGGGCAGGGCAGGGCGTCGCGCGGGTCCTAGGGCGACGCGACGGGCAGGGCAGGGCGTCGCGCGGGTCCTAGGGCGACGCGACGGGCAGGGCAGGGCGTCATGCGGGTCCTAGGGCGACTCGACGGTCAGGGCAGGGCGTGCGCGGTCAGCGCGACGTAGGGCAGGGCGAGCGCGGGGCAGCGCGACGCGGGCAGGGCAGCGCGTGCGCGGGGCGGCGCGACGCAGGGCAGGGCGTGCGCGGGGCAGCGCAACACAGGGTAGGGCAGGGCGTGCGCGGGGCGGCGCAACGCAGGGCAGGGCGTGCGCAGGGCAGCGCAACGCAGGGCAGGGCGTGCGCTGGCAGCGCAATGCAGGGGAGGGCGTGGGGTAGCGCGGTAACCGCAGTCGGTCACTAGCTAATGGTGGGCCCGGAAAAATAAAAGCAGTCCTACGGACCTGCTGCTCTGAAACCATGTCAGAATCAACGAGCAGGAATGAATGAACTATGCATCAGTTTGGTACAAGTACGAACCCTAAACTGGGTTGTACCCCATATAGGCTACCCCACTACAGCCTACACAACACAATGTTCTGACAAGATCTACGCAGGAGCCATGGCTGCACAGGAGTTACGCTGGCTCACCTACCTGCTGACCGACTTGGGAGAGCGGCCTAGTTCTCCTCCAGTTCTGTACGTAGACAACAAGGCTGCCATTGCCTTGTGTTAGGAGCACAGACTGGAGCACAGAACGAAGCATATCGCTCTGCGCTACTTCCTGGCTCGAGAGTTGCAGTAGCGTGGTCAGCTTCGTCTTGCTTACGTGGCCACCCGGGCCAACACAGCTGATATCTTCACCAAGGCACTTCCGCCTGGTGATCATCAGCGTCTGTGTACTGCTTTAGGCCTTGTGCCTACGTTTGCTCACTTGCTCACTGCGTGACCTTGCTTGTACTGTGATCTATATATACCTGCAATATGGGGTAGCCAATATGGGGTAGCCAATATGGGGTTCAAGCGTTAGTACATGTACCAACTTTCTTATCAATGCATTTATTCCTGCTGCTAGATTCTGATAGGGCAGCGCGACGGGCCGGGTACTATTTGATGGGCCCTAAAAGAACGGTCTTGGAACAGGACCTGCTCTGTAACCATGTCAGAATAGTGAACTGGAATGAATGCATTGAGGTCAAACTGAGTACATATACTAACCCTATTTGGGTTGTACCCCTTAATGGGCAACAAAAAACAACATAAACAACGTAAACATTATATTGTTTTGCTCCCCCCCCCCCCCCCCCTTCCTCCCCCTCGAGGGGTAATACACAGGGTGAGCTAAGAAAGTAGCTCTGATGCAAGAGTTATGAGTTGTACTAAACAGAGTGCGTAGAAGACTTTATAAAGAGAACATGATTACAAGATGACAAGATAATGAAGAAAGTGAGCATTTATAGGGCGGAAACCGTGCTAGACGAAGGCCTACGGACGTGCGTGGGTTGAAAATATCGTGACTGGTGCGGGGCAACTCAGAATGTGGTTCGGGCTGAAGTGTAGGCCGAACCCAATTGACGCGAAATGTTCGGGCTGTCCTCGCTAGGAGCAGGCTCGACAGTAATGAATTCTTATTCATTACAGGTTGGGAGTGAGCTAAAACTAAATTTGGGGCTTGCTACATGCAGGGCAGAGGGTGGGGGGAAGCAGGGAAGGGGATGGGGGGAAGTGTCAAACAATATATGTGTGTTATTTCTGTGTAGGCTATAGTGGGGTAGCCCATATGGGGTACAACCCAAAGTTAGGGTTAGTACTTGTACCCACCTTTCATTCAATACACACATTCCTGCTCGTTGATTCTGACATGGTTTCAGAGCAGTAGGTCCGTAGGACCGTTTTTTTTTTTCTGGGCCCACCATTAGCTAGTGACCGACTGCGGTTACCGCGCTGCCCCATGCCCTGCCCTGCGTCGCGTTGCCAGCGCATGCCCTGCCCTGCCCTGCGTTGCGCCGCCCCGCACAAGCCCTGCCCTGCCCTGAGTTGCGCTGCCCCGCGCACGCCCTGCCCTGCGTCGCGCCGCCCCGCGCACGCGCTGCCCCCTGCCCGCGTCGCGCTGCCCCGCGCACGCCCTGCTCTGACCACGCACGCCCTGCCCTGACCGTCGCGTCACCCTAGGACCCGCGTGACGCCCTGCCCTGCCCGTCGCGTCGCCCTAGGACCCGCGCGGCGCCCTGCCCTGCCCATCGCGTCGCCCTAGGACCAGCGCGGCGCCCTTCCCTGCTCGTCGCGTCGCCCTAGGACCAGCGCGACGCCCTGCCCTGCCCGTCGCGTCGCCCTAGGACCCGCGCGACGCCCTGCCCTGCCCGTCGCGTCGCCCTAGGACCCGCGCGACGCCCTGCCCTGCCCGTCGCGTCGCCCTAGGACCCGCGCGACGCCCTGCCCTGCCCGTCGCGTCGCCCTAGGACCCGCGCGACGCCCTGCCCTGCCCGTCGCGTCGCCCTAGGACCCGCGCGACACCCTGCGCTGCCCGTCGCGTCGCCCTAGGACCCCCGCGACGCCCTGCCCTGCCTGTCGCGCCGCCCTAGAGCCCGCACGCTGCCCCTGCCTGCCCGTTGCGCCGCCCCAGAGCCCGCGCGCCGCCCCTGCCTGCTCGTGCGCCACCCAAGAGCCCGCGCGCCGCCCCTCCCGGCCTGCGCGCCGCCCTGTTCGCCCGCGCAGCGCTCTGCTAGCCCGCGCGCCCGGCCCTGCCTTGCCCTACGCCCGCCCTGCCCTGCCGAGCGCCGTCCCAGATCCTGCGCACCGCTCTGCCAGCCAGCGCGCCGCTCTCCTAGCCCGCGCACTCGCCTCCTGGCCACCTACATGACGCCCTCTGCAACCCGTGCATCTCCGTTCCTGCCTTGCCCTGCCCTACCTCCTTCCTCTGCCCAGCATGGCTTCTCTTAGTGGTAGTGGTGGGAGTTGTGTTGGCGGTGGGGGCAGCGGTGGGAGTGGTGGAGGCGGCCGCAGCGGCAGTCGAGGTGGAGCTGTTCGGTGGGGAGGTTCTAGTGGTAGCCATCTGCAGTTTCTGCGAGGTCCGCGCGTCACCCTTTCGCCCCAGCAGCTTCGTGAGTGGTATTTCCAGCGTGGGAAGTCTCCGAGTACTGGTCGCTGCCCGTATGTCATTCGCACAGGTGCTCGGGCCGGGCAGACCTGCGGGACACCTGGCCATTCACAGCCCCGCTGCTTCGCCTATTTGAGTGACGCCTGGAGAGAGGTGTTTGGCGACGAGGCTGAGCCCCCCAGCTGGCTGGGAGGACGTCTTTGCTCTCGACTTGGACGCTATACTTACTGCCATGTATACTCTGACTGTGGGTACTGAGGGTGACTGTTACCTCTGTGTGCCGCCCGACCCTGGCATAGAGGCTGCTACTCTAGGTACTAGTGCGTCTGCTCTCGGTGCTAGTGAGTCTGCTCTCTCTGGTACTGCGTCTGCTGAGCCCTTGCACACCTTCACGCTTGACTCAGGTGCTTCACGCTGTTTCTTTCGCGACAGTACCGCACTCACACCGCTCCCTAGACCGGTTGCGGTCTCCTTGGCTAACCCCTCTGGGGGTCCGGTTCTTGCACGTTCCTCCACCGTGCTCCCGTGTCCGGCGGTTCCGTCCGGCTCGCTGTCAGGTCTCCA